ATTTGGGGCATCAAAACGAAAAAATTGCGTAAAAAAATAATTTTTGATTTATCGAACTTAAAACAATATTCTTGCAACTAGTGCCCTTAGGGCTTCATTCTGGGCGAGTTTGAAGAAATCCGATTTTTTCGCTATTTCCAAGTCTAGTTGATATTTAGGCGAAGCTGCTCTTCAGAAGAGAATTAAACCATACACATTGGCTCAGTAATAACTTTTTCATGCACATTGCCTCTGTCATAATTTTTTTCTGGCTATGGCCCTGCGATACCTGAATTTCCAAAACAAGTTACCAGGAATTTCTGTTCCATTTGATTTTCATCCTTGAATTTTAAGTTAACTGGGTTGCACTTCAGAAATTTAACAATTTTTGGATTTTCTGGAAACTTTCCAAGGAAATTTCGTTAACCATTTGCCCCTTTACCATTTGGTGAAATGGAAAGTTGCCATGGTCTGCCATCATGACTGGCTTTTAGCCAGGATTTTAAAAGTGGGGCTCCAAAATGTTCTCTACCGCCTGCTCAAACAGACAAATTATTTAATAATAATAATAATAATAATAATAATAATAATAATAATAACGCTTTAATGATGATTTTTCTACAGAGTAGTTCTCCATTCATCATATGCTAACTAAAAATTAAAAATACATATGGATGTAAGTATAATTTACAAGTAAAAACTATGTGGAAAACACGCGTATGTAAAAAAGTAATCAATTATGTAGATTCCAACCAATCTAATCTGAGTTCGGCCTTGGTTTTCAAAAACGTATAAGCTTTCCTCGCAACTGTTTTAGCATTAGACTCAAGCTTGATGTTACAGTATTGTGCAAAAGTAATGAGAGCATAATTCGACGAAATTCGCGAATTTCGGGGCTTTTTGACGAAAAATGGCGAAGTTTTGTTCACCTCGTAACTTTGAAGAAAATTCAATGGAGTTTCCCGCTACCCATTGTTTTAGTCAATGCAAATTTTTGAGCAGTAATTCGTGTCTACTGATAATTTGGCCTGATTTTT